CTCACTATGAGTCTAAAAAGTAAAGATAGGTACTCATGAAAATTTGGTCTTTGACTTAGGAAGAAGCATTAAGTACCACACTGCAAAAAACCCAGATGAACATGAGAGGAGGGAGCGTGTGACAGAGAAGAGATCCTTAAAAAGCATCCAGATTCTCATGACTCTGTTTCTTCCAAGGTTTTACTGTTAATAAGGCAGATTTTTCCTTTTCAAAAGCCTCAGCGCACCTCAACACACACCCACTCCTCCCCTCCCATCTTCCTGCCCCTTGAGTGACTTTGTTTTTCTTTTAAAGATAGCAGAAAATAGCAGTTCTGGGACAAAAATCTATTTCAACAAATTACTGTAAAGGATCTGAGAGAATCCAAAAAAACTTAAGGGAAGACACCCAGAAACAGGAAAGTAGTGCTGTCTTCTCATCTTTGAGAGAATAAAAAACAGGAACAGAACACATCTTCTTTTGCTAGTTGACTTTTCAGTTTAAAAAAAAAAAAAAAAAAAAAAAAAGTGGTGAAAATGAAATCTGCCTTCCAAATTGGTCAATTATGTGGAACAAGAATTCTTCCTACTGGGAAGAATTTATACAAATAAAGTCCAGCTCACAAGTCTAACACTTACCTAAAACACTAGATTATTATGCCTTATGCTTCGAAGAAAATATTCTACTGGTAATTTTCTATTAATTTTATCTTTTTAACTGTAGAGAAAAATCAAATGTTTTTAAAATAAATACTGTGAAAGCGTCAATATTTCTGTGGCATGGAGAGCTCCAGGCCAACAATCCTGGGGAACAAAATGGAAGTTATTCTCTCTTCAGTATTCAAATTGCAATTTGATCTTACTTGAGGGATTTTTTCAATACATTTACACTTTATTCATGCTTCAGCAATATGCAAAAAGTTTTCAGTGTTGTATAGGCTGGGTGCACGATGAGGCTATTTTTGGCTTACCTTGACATTGTTTTTTCAGAAAAGCAAGTATCCACCAGTAGGGCCGCAGCTACTGGGTGGCTTTGCCAAGATTGCACACATCTTCTGCCCCGGCACAGGTAAGTGGCTTCAGTTCTAAAGCAAACTTTCAAGGTGGTGAAAACAGTGATGGGTGGTAACAAACGACAGAAAAAGAAAGATTTGACATGCGTCCATTATGTCAACAAAGAACAATTTGTTTTGTCTGAATAAAAGTAGTCTCATCAGACAGGCACTTGCCAATCTGGAAATACCTACCCAAAGGAGTAATGAACTGTCAACAAGATGACTATTTAAAGGGGAGACGGTCCTTTAAAACAGACTATAGATTTTATTTTAACAGAACAAGTCTCTACATTAAGAGACGGTGTGATCTTGTGCCTACAGGAAGCATCTTTAGAAGCCATCATGACCACCAAATGAATTTAGAAGAGGCACAGTAACTACAGGCAGTCTTATTACACAGGGGCATTGCTGTTCCCTTCTGATCTTGAGACTGTCTCTATATCCTGCAGGATAAACAAACACGGGTCACTCAGATTTAAGCATACGTCTACGAAATCCTCAGAAAACAACAATTTTTGAAATCCCTTTTAGCCCCAAACTGTAACCGCT